CGCCCGCCTACTGCGTCCTAAAATGTGACTGACAAAGGGAAGTTTCAGCATTTCATAAATTCGTAATACGACTTACATTACGTGGGGTTACTGAAAAATCCGTTAAGTGCAAAAAAGTAATTGTCGAGTTATCTAACATAACCATTTTTTTTTTCAAAGGAAAAAATCTGCTTTTTTTCATCAAACTATTTACTTTAGGAAAAACTAAAGAGCTAATTTAAGGGGCAATACAAATTGCATTGTAATTATTCCTACTATTCTACTATTTTTTGGCTTAATAAATAGTTGAGATATCTCTAGTTTGGTCAAATACGGACTTTTGCGGTAAACCCACGATTTATAAGTTGGTGCGTGGTGACCTGCGAGAAACCAATTTGTCAGTTCGTTTTATTGGTTTATTGAATCACATGGTTTTCCGCTGTCCGGTTTCTTCAGGTACACTTTATGAACGCAAAGTATTAAAAATTGCTATCAACATTAAGAAGTGTCGAACTATTTATCTGATATAAATTATTTTTATGTTTTTTTGTAATGTTTATCATAATTGTTTGGTTAAAATTAAAACCACGTTGTTGCGCCTCTGGTTAGTAAAAAATGGCGATGTTTTGTGCGTTAGACCATCAGTCCGGCAAGGGCAGCGGTATTTTACACCTCCTAAGTTCTACATGTCATCGATTGATTAAAAGGCATTAAGTCATGTTAGTTTTTTTGTTTGGTTGGATTAGGTCCAGGAATAAATAACAACTATTCGATTTTGGCCAACGTTTCGGAGCATTATTTCTCCTTCATCAGGGCTCAATCAATGTTGTGATTGTTGGCAAAAATCGAAGAGTTGTTATTTATTCCTGGACCTAATCCAACCAAACAAAAAAAACTAACAGAGAAGAAGGTCGCTAAATTCCCCACAGATATTAAGTCATGTGTTTTCATCTACCTACCACAGGTTACGCGTGAACCACCACATTTCCAAAGCTTCGCTGAGTAACAATACTGCTTATTACTTTCCACTAGCACTTATTCTTCATTCGTAACCGCACGTTATATGACGCAGGCAATAACGAAAGATTAACACCATTTAAATTGAATGTAGCTTCATGTGAAAAAAGGATATTTCTTAAACGCCGGGTGTCCCACAGATTTCTGACCCATTTTGAATTTTTTTGAAGTTTTAGGCATTATCAGAAGGAAGAGAGTCAACTGAATATGAACCACGCATCGGAAGGCCTTCATCTTCAAGAACTGATGAAAATGTCGATAGAATACGGGTCTTGTGCGTTCAGATGGTCGATTGACGACAACAATGATCGACGAAGAGTTAAATTTCACACCACTGTTCATCAGATTTTGACTAATGAATTGGGGATGAGAAAAATTGCGCAAAAATGGTTCCATAAAACCTTTCGCAGGAACAAAAGGATATAAGGAGAGAAAGATGTCTTGACTTTTTAGAACCGTTTGAAAATGATCCCGATTTTATGGAACGTGTCATTATTGGTGATGAATGATGAGACTTGGGTGTTTGAGTACGACCCGGAAACCAAGCGCCAAAGCATGGAATGGCACACTTCAAGCATTCCAAGACCCAAAAAAGCAAGGATGAGCAAGTTGAGGATCAAATGCATGCTGATTTGTTTTTTGATAGCCCGGGAATTGTCCACAAAGAAAAAATCGTTCCTGGGACAAAAAATTGTCCCAGGCCAAACAGTAAATCAACACTTTTACAGAGAGGTTCTTCGAAAAAGGGTCATGCGTGTGAGATTTAGAGTCAAACTTAGAAGTTTTCGCCAGTCGATATAGTATTTCAAAAGTTTTTTTCGTACTGTGGTAAATACTTGTTACTTGTCTTACAGGGTGTTTTTGAAATATGATCAAATTCAACGTTAAAATTCCCTACTATTTAAATCTATACCCTATATACTATTTACACCAAACACCTTATATCTATTTACACCAAATAAAAGCTGCAATCTTCTGCTTTCCAAAAATGTAAGTGTGTTACACATTATTTTCAATATGGGTTACTAATTTGATTTTTAAAAATATCGCGTTTTGGACGTCCCACAAAATTCTGACCCATTTTGATCGTAAATATCTTTTCACGGAGAGAACTTAAAAGGATGCGGTTTTCGCCAATTGATTTACTTTCTCAGTAAGTTTTTTTCGTGCTATGTTAAAAACTATTTATCCAACCTACAGGGAGTTCCGGAAATATGATCAATTTCAATGTAAAAAATCGTCATTACTTTGAACACAATACTCGGCATATATTTACACCAAACAAAAGTTTCAAAGTAAAGTGTATCAAACCTGTATTCTTGGAAAGCTGAAGAATGCAGCTTTTGTTCGGCGTAAACATATATAGGGTGTTGTAAGTCGAAATTGACCATATTTTAAAAACATCTTGTAGGGCAAGTACCTAACAAGTTTTTACCATAGTATGAAAAAAACCTTTTGAAATGCTAAATCAACTGGGCGAAAACAGCTTCCTTCTAAGTTTGCTCCGTCAAAAGATATTTACGATCAAAATGGGTCAGAAATTTCTGGGACACCCGGTATTATTGTTATTGCATTTTTTACATCATGACCACATAACTCAACCCTTCGATCGAAGTCATTCTCGTCTAACTCGTGAACAAGTTGTAATTTGTATGGACGTACCCTTCTAATTATTTTTTTAATTATTGTGAATACACCACTATATGTGGAAGTAATGTTTTCACTTACAATAAAACACAAGATAATTATTATTATGCAACATTATGAATGTATAAAATTTTTTTTTTTAAACAGAATAAAGTGTTTTACTTGTAATATTTACTAATGAAATAGTAATATCAACTGCTAATTTGTTTTAGAAGTGTTTAGTTTTATGAAACCCAAAGCTAATAATAATTACCCATCCAAAAAAAAAACGGGATTTAATAATTTAGAAAAATTATTAAATCTGGCTCTGAACGAGAGAGATGGAAATAGCGGTCATGTCGAAGCTGGAAGCGAAAGTTTGTTGTCAAACTTTTGATAAGTGGCTGACACAATTGTAAAGTAAATTAACAGCCTTGACAATTAAATAAGGTTATAAATTTAAAATTAGGAAGAGAAAAACGTCTTTTTTTTTGCTCGGCCAACTTTGTTGAGGTTTTTTTTTAGTGGCTCGTTATTCACTTACATTATATGTAGTATTTAGTAGCTTCTAAAAAAGTACTAATAATTTTTCGAAAAATTAAGTTTTAAACGGTATTTTCTCATTTGTTTATGAAACAGGAATCGCCAAACTTATATTATTTTTTCCATTAATTCTAAATTAGAAGCTTATAATATTAGTCGTTTTATAAAACAAACCCAGGCACACGCGATTGGAAATCGATTGAACTTGATGACGATAAAATGTGTGATATAATTTTAATATTCCTAAAGAAAACGGATTCCTACACCACCACTGAATATCTGAACTCTTGTGGAAGGACATGCAGTCCTGATGAATACCACGACTCATTTGGTTATCCTTTGTACTGTAATTTGGACTGTAATTTTCATTATAATACAAACAAATACCTTTCAAGCACGATGACAGTAGTTGATCCGAGTATTTCATTGTTCATTTCGCGATCATCCTTGGAGTAATAAATTCCGAACGCCCTCCGCGGCGGCTCGTTATTCTTTTTTTATCCAATAAGAAAATGGCGGTGTGTATCGTCGTTATCCAACAAACAAGGTTATTTATTTCCAGTTATCTGCGGAGATTTAGGAAACAATTGGAAAAAATAGGGAGAAAACGGGGCAATTGAAAGGCAATTTATCATCGTCTCAGCAGGCCACGGATGACAAAAGAAGGCGACTTTCGCGGACGCGTGTTTTGTTTAGGATCATTTAAAGAGAGGAGAACCTGTGCCGACGACAGGGCCGTATTAAGGTGAAAAGGTGACATTAATATAAGTGTGACTTAAAACAAAGCGGAGTTTGAAAAGTGTTTACATAAATAATGACGTATATAAATTGTATAAAAATTGAAATATTTTTTTTAATGAAATACACAGTTAAGGTAAATTAAAACTGAGCTTTTGTCGGAAAATAAATATAAACTGTAGTTTTTTAAAGCAATTGTCGTAAACATTGTCATTGTTTCTGTTACTGCATTTAGGATTCATCGTTTTGACAGTGATCATATAAATAATTGGATGTTGCGTTATAGGTAGAATAAGCGTTCTACTTTAGTAAAGTAAATTAGTAAAGGAAAAAATAACTGGGTTAGCTGTAAACAATTTGTTAAGGTATACGCGTCACGACTTCAAATTTAGCAACGTCTCGAGGCTTCCAGAAGACTTTTCTTTTAATGTTTCACCGACTTTAAAATTGTAGAAATATCGGAATTTAATGAAAATGTTCTCAAAGTATGCCGTGGAATCGAACCCGCATGTCTTGAATTATTACTCTTAGGACTTAGGACTGTCAAGTTCTGAAGTCTTTTGTATTAAGAAAATTACTTTAGTGTTATTATCTTTGTATAACAAACGTATTATCATAAATCCACCATTGTCACCATGGCCATCACATTTCTATCAGTTCTAAAGAAATTTTTCATCATAAAAACTTGTTATGTCGTGATTACCATATTTAATTTTCTTAATAATAAAAAGCTTCAAAACTTGGCAGTTGGCAGAGTGATAAATCAAGACAAGAGTTCCACGGTAAACTTTGAGGACACTTTTTTTTATCTTATGATATGTAGAATATAAATAATAAAAATTAGATTGCATCGTCCCCCGTCTTTCCTTTTTTTTAGTTTCAGAAAATCGAAATATCGAAACCTTAATTTGATTAAATAATTGATATAGCCTCAAAAATTTGCCTTGATAATGTATTAATGTTTTTTTATGTGCAGATAAATAAATCACACACCACACCACATAAATTCACTCTAAGAGTCACTACAACTGTGCAGAGGGAGAATACACATGGAAAAGACGTAGGACACACAACCAAACCCTGTGACAGGTGCCAATTGCCACAGGCGGGATTCGAACCCGTGCGGATAATAGCTCTCGGAGTAATCGCCGTCTACCCATTTGGCGCTTACCCATTGAGCTATCGCCGCGGTCAAAATAAGTTGCATGCTTTCAGTTTCTCCAAAATATCTCAAGATAGAGGCATTCTCTTAGCGGAGTTAGATTATTCATAAAATTATCTACAACTTTGCCCATCTATCCGTTTTCCTATTTGTTATAGTTTCCAAAATAGCATTCCATGCATCACCAACTCTGGACACACTGTATAACCCGTAGATTTTAATAATAATAATAATAATAATAATAATAATAATAATAATAATAATAATAATAATAATAATAATAATAATAATAATAATAATAATAAATAAGTTTATTGAAAAGGCAAAACAGTACAAGTACAGTATCCCTTTTTCAAAAGGAATGTGTGTCAACATGGTTGATTTACAACACCTCCACGAATTTTACATAAAAACAGACTAAATCAGCTATAATATGTGATAGTACAAATATAATATGTGATATTACAAACGGTTATGAACTAATAACAAAAAACGGTTAACAGTTTGGACAGTTAACAGAAAATTTAGGTTAAATAACAGATTTATTAGAACATACCCATATCAATATATTCCAGATTAGAAGAAAGTATATCATCTTTTAATTTATGTTTTACTGTTTCCACTGACAAATTGCGATAGCGAGTTGGTAGAGTGTTAAGAACATATGCAGCCATGTAGGAAAAAGAAGATTTGAACAATTCATTTTTATACGGAGGAATGGAAACCTTACTTCCTATCTGTCTTAAATCCCTGGTGTGAATGTCAGAGCGCCAGTTTTTTTTTTTTATAAATATTCAGGTCTTTTGATCTTTACAATATTTAGAACAAAACCAACAAAGTGTATAAATATCCTTTCAGACATGTTCAATAAATTGAAATTACGTAAATAAGGAGTAATATGTCCAAACTGTGGCACGACTGTAAGATATCTTACATTTACAAAGGAAAGTTGATATACCTAAGGTTTTGACAGCGGTTGTTCCTGGATTGAGTCCGACCCTGTTGTCGAGATGAGATTCCGCTCATGGTTGCCTGTTTGGACCCGATATCGGGGAAGGACCGTCCAGGACATTAGCGGTGTTTATATTCCATTATTAGAGCGGCGGCCTGCCACGCCGCCCGCGCCGCTCCCAGATCCATCAGATTTCTCATTTGCGGCCGACGTTTATGGTAATCGGAAGCGGAGTGTCTTCTTTTTTAAGTGGCGCGCAAAATTACTTTATGAGTTTAGGTAATAAATCGGCGCGGAGTGTTAAATTAGGTTGCGGATTAGATCGGGCTCAGAGTAAACATACTTGATATTCTGTTTGAGCCTAGGCGAGGTTGAAGCGGTAATTTAGCGCCGTCCGTCCCTTACTTGCGATTTTATTAAGGTATTGTTTGCGAAGGAACGAATCAGATTTCTGAGAAACTGTCCAAAATTTTTGAGGCAAAAACTACTATAAATGCGTCTGACCTGTCAGAGAACTTGAACAACTTTTGCGTCTACACAGCCCCACAAAATTTTTTTTTTGGAACTGCTATCGAGACAACTGTATCCTGTAACTGTATAAAATGTATGTAATTTTCGACGCTGAATCCGAATCCGAAGTCAAAAAAATCGTACACCCTCAAATTCAACCCCTAGCGCTAAAAAACAGGGTAAAAATGATTTTAAGTGAAGCGTTAGAAAAATAAAAGTCTTAAATCTCAATAATTCTAATTAAATATAAACATTCATGTATATAACGCATAAATACAGAGTTAACACTAATTTACATTGAAAGTCACCCTCATGAGTGGGTGAAAACTACCCCTCACACAACAGGAAATTAAAAAAACTGCAGTGATTGCAAAAAAAGCTTATGATGCCCAGTTATTTTAGAAACAGTATGTAACTGCATTAGTCTCGATGCGATGCTCAAAAACAACCCCCATATAGTGGCGGAAACCACCCCTAATTTTAAATTACAGTTGCTTAGATGACTCCTAAAAAGAATTCTCTGAAAATACTATTACTTATTTATATGACCTCTAAAAATTATTGTCTAAAATTTTACTGAATTTTTTTTAAGTTTCCTGTTGTATGAGGGGTAGTTTTCACCCACTCATGGGGGTGATGAAAGTAGTGTTAACTCTGTATTTCTGCGTTCGATAATTGAATGTTTATATTTAATTAAAATTATTGAGATTTAAGACTATTCGTGAAGCGTTAAGTCATTTTTACCCTGTTTTTTTGCGCTAGGGGTTGATTTTGGGGGTGTACGATTTTTTTTGACTTCGGATTCGGATTCAGCGTCGAAAATTACATAGGGAGACAGTTGTCTCGATAGCAGTTCCAACATTTTTTTTTTGTGGGGCTGTGATATTTATGTTTTTATTGAATATATCAGTTTTTCCAAATTTTATTGACAGAAAAGGTATATCCTTTAAATGTCGCTCCGATTGACCACCTTAGAGATGTTTGCGTTTAGAGAAGTGTGCAGTGCAACAAAAAAGTCGTACTTTGATTTACAAAACAAAATACCACAGTGAGAAAAACACCATAAGTCGAGTTAATAAACGTAGTTCTCTAGTTACTATACTATATTAGAAAATTAGTATACTATATTAGAAAAAGTGTAAAAAACTCCCCAAAAAAAAACTAAAAGAACTGGAACGTACCAACCTTTAAGTGCAAATATGTCGAAAATCACCCGCTCTATGGGTTTACAACAATATTATATGATCTACGTAAAATACATTAAATAATTCAAAATTATAGTCGACATTAATATTTGGACAGCGTTGTAAAATTTAAGGGGATAAAAGTGTTACTTCCCCACATCCTACGCCAGTACCAAAAGTAAATTAATTGGTTTTTCTAGTTAGGTGGACCTTATGACAATACAACCTCCTGCTAAATTTGAAAAAGAAATAATAGGTAATAATAAAAATATTATCAGTAATTCGAGTTCGGAAAGTGTGCTACAACGCAGGGTCGGATTCGTAATCCATCATATGATTGACGGAAGGGCATATGAGAGACCAAAAAGACAGGAGTAAAATTTTGTTAATAATATATGTACATACCTATTGCTTGTGTCATTCAGAAACACCGAATGTCTTCACTGATTGAGCGTACGTTGCTACAGCCAGTAGTTTTTACTACACAGTACTATTTCCATAGTTTTAGCCATTGTTTGCAAAACCCCTTTACTAGCCAAATCTACTAAATTTATGTGACACTGTCAGTCACATACATTTATTACGTATGTCTTCTGTAAATACGGTTTACGCAATGTATGGCTATTAGGCAATGGAAAATCGGATAAAAAAAAACACATTTTTTGTTTATTCAGAATGCTGCAGAGAGCGTCCTCTACAACGTTCATCAAAATGATTGATAAATTAAAATTCCTCTCCTCCAAATTTTAGAATTTTTTTTAAAGGAGTTATTTACAAAAATCGAAAATAAAATTATAACTAACCCCCTGTATCTTGGTTACCAATAACTTTTGGACTAAGCTATGTTTGGTTAAATATTTTTTTCGGTTGAATTATTGTCTAATGCATTCCTTTTCCAAAGAATCTGTGTTTTCGTTGTGGTACCTTAATAATGGGACACTCTGTATATTAGTTTTCTAATTAAGTGCTATGTGTTCAATTAAAATTTTACGTGTAGTTCCTATAAAGCCCAGAACTTACTGCATAACTAATTTAACAACAAAATAATAATCAATAGGATAGGTTATATTTAGCTGGTAAATAATTTTGAAAATGATTATTTAATCGAATAATTGATTTATTAATCATCCGAATTATATTGTGTTTCTATTAAAAAAAAACACACAGTTTAGGCTGTTCTATTTACGTTTTTGAAATACGCAAAAATACATTACTTTACTAACACTCATAATTTGAAGTAACTACCATTTTTTTTAAATAATTCCTGTATCAGTATGTAGTCTTAGTTCTGCTGTATACTTCAAGAAATGTTATGATCTCGTAAAATATGTTAAAAACATCATTTATGTAGAACACGTATGTTACCATAATAGGGAATTCGCAACATGCATACTTTATGGCAGTTGCGTCGACGCCAATCAACGCGCGATACAAAATTTGATTTGGGTATTACCAGATGTGCGTCGTGAAATATTAACCACCCCGCCGTTGTAATAAAACCAATCAAATGTACTATAAAATGATAAAATCTCATATTTATAAGGCAATTTAAATTCGACAAAACAATAGGCATAACTATGGTTCGAGATCATTTAACAAGTAATTTATAACCGAAATAAAATGATGGGTTGTGCGGCAGTAACGCTTCGGATGTGGGGAGGGTTGACCTGAGGTCGGATTCTAGACGAGGAGGAGCTGGTGTTTGTGTGTGTGTGTGTGTGTGCGGAATGAAGGGTGAGATTACATCTGCGCCCCACAGGGTGACACACTACAAATGCCGTTCACTTTTTTTAATCATTAATTTATTTGAAATGTAGTTGAATAATTGAAGTTTAAAACTTAATTGATGATTAAAACTCTCGTTTTTAAAACCATTGATACTAAGAAATTTGGGGATGAAAAGTTCGGATATTTTGAAAAGTGTCGTTGTAATCATTTTTTTGAAATTTAGGTACGCTATGAAAGTATCCAGTAACTTGTACATTAAAAATATTATAATATTACATGCAACTGAAAAATGTTGCTTTGCGTTAGACTACATCAATGTATCTATAAGTTTTTGGGATCGTTGAATCTGAAAACATTGACGACCGATATCTATGCAATATGTACAGTGTGTGCCCAGATTTGCTTAACAGATGGGAAACTTTTTTATTTCGCCTTGTAGAAAAATTGTAGAAAAAAAACATTCCAGATAAAACGTTTGCTGTCCTAAAACTAATATTGCTGTTTGGGAAAATGTTGGACGCCTGCATGTAGAATAGTTATGGTGCGTGAATAATAATTTTGCTGTTTTTTTCAAAATAATTGTTGAATTTGCTTATTAAATCATAATTTCTTCAAAATAAATGTTTAAATAATACTTTTGGGGTTTATGATTT